CTGCTAACAACAGCTGTTGACTTGCTGCTAACAACAGCTGTTAACTTGCTGCTAACAACAGCTGTTGACTTGCTGCTAACAACAGCTGTTGACTTGCTGCTAACAACAGCTGTTGACTTGCTGCTAACAACAGCTGTTGACTTGCTGCTAACAACAGCACCTGACTTGCTGCTAACAACAGCTGTTGACTTGCTGCTAACAACAGCTGTTAACTTGCTGCTAACAACAGCTGTTGACTTGCTGCTAACAACAGCAGCTGACTTGCTGCTAACAACAGCTGTTAACTTGCTGCTAACAACAGCTGTTGACTTGCTGCTAACAACAGCAGCTGACTTGCTGCTAACAACAGCTGTTAACTTGCTGCTAACAACAGCTGTTGACTTGCTGCTAACAACAGCAGCTGACTTGCTGCTAACAACAGCTGTTAACTTGCTGCTAACAACAGCTGTTGACTTGCTGCTAACAACAGCTGCTGACTTGCTGCTAACAACAGCTGCTGACTTGCTGCTAACAACAACAGCTGTTGACTTGCTGCTAACAACAGCTGTTGACTTGCTGCTAACAACAGCTGTTGACTTGCTGCTAACAACAGCTGTTAACTTGCTGCTAACAACAGCTGTTGACTTGCTGCTAACAACAGCTGTTAACTTGCTGCTAACAACAGCTGTTAACTTGCTGCTAACAACAGCAGCTGACTTGCTGCTAACAACAGCTGTTGACTTGCTGCTAACAACAGCTGTTGACTTGCTGCTAACAACAGCTGTTGACTTGCTGCTAACAACAGCTGTTGACTTGCTGCTAACAACAGCTGTTGACTTGCTGCTAACAACAGCTGCTGACTTGCTGCTAACAACAGCTGTTGACTTGCTGCTAACAACAGCTGTTGACTTGCTGCTAACAACAGCTGTTGACTTGCTGCTAACAACAGCTGTTAACTTGCTGCTAACAACAGCTGTTGACTTGCTGCTAACAACAGCTGTTGACTTGCTGCTAACAACAGCAGCTGACTTGCTGCTAACAACAGCTGTTGACTTGCTGTTGGGGTGGGGTGGGTGGAGTGGGGTGGGTGGCTGGGTGCGGTGGGTGGAGTGGCTGAGTGGAGTGGGTGGGGTGGTTGGGTTGGCTGAGTGGGGTGGGTGGGGTGGGGTGAGTAGTGTGGGGTGGGGTTGGGTGGGGTGGGTGGGGTGGGGTGGGTGGGTGGGGTGGGGTGAGTAGGGTGGGGTTGGGTGGGGTGGGTGGGGTGGGTTGGCTGAGTGGGGTGGGGTGGGTGGGGTGGGGTGGGTCGGGTGGGGTGGGGTGGGTTGGCTGGGTGGGGTGGGGTGGGTGGGGTGGCTGATTGGGGTGGGTGGGGTGGGTGGGGTGGGGTGGGTGGGTGGGGTGGGTTGGCTGGGTGGGGTGGGGTGGGTGGGGTGGGGTGGTTGGGTTGGCTGAGTGGGGTAGGGTGGGGCGCAGCTGCTCTGCACAGATGATGTAACACGACGTGTATGTATGTATGTGTGTATGTGTGTGTATGTATGTGTGTATGTGTGGCCTCAGGGTGCACATAGCCTGGCACAAGCGTCGTGGTGACGTCACCGCCACTTAGTGGCGAATGGCGGTTGTTGTTGTTGTATGTGTGTGTATGTGTGTATGTATGTGTGTGTCTGCGTGTGTGTATGTACACGTGTGTGTCTGCGTGTGTGTATGCGTCTCACTCCTCAGTGTGCCAGGAAAGGTCCTGTCAAGGATTATTCAACATCGCTTTGCCAGGCACGCTGAGGAGAGGCTTGCGGAGCTCCAATGCGGTTTCAGGAAAGGGCGGTCCTGCACAGATGCCATATTTTCTGTCCGTCTGCTACAGCAGAGGTGTAGGGAATTCCAACAAGACCTACATCTCTGCTTTATTGACCTGGTCAAGGCCTATGATACCATCAGTAGGCCTGGGCTCTGGGTTGTTCTTCGTGCTTTTGGAGTCTCTGACCCTCTGCTCACGATCATTAAGGACCTTCATGATGGTGAGCGGGCCCGGGTAAAACTACGTGGCCGGGAGTCAGAGCCATTCCCTGTACACCTTGGTGTGCGACAGGGATGTCCTCTGGCTCCCACATTATTTAACATCTATTTTGACCACGTAGTTCGTGAAGCCTTCAATAGCTGTACCGGGGGAATCTCCATATGGTACAGATATAATGGGAGGCTAATCGATGCCCGGGTGCGGTCAAGGGATGGCTCCCTATTGCTCAACCACGTTATGTATGCTGATGACTTGGTAATAGCTGCTCAGTCAGAGGAGGAGTTGGAGACGCTGCTGCTGAGACTGGAGCGTGCCACTAAGAGGTGGGGCCTTACCATCAGCCCCACCAAAACTAAGCACCTGCCTGGGTATTTTGTACCATCGGACACTCCACCCCCACAACTCCCAATCGGTGATGGGGCAGTTGTGGAGAGAGTGGAGAGTTTCCCATACCTGGGCAGTGTGCTTATGACTGGCTCCAGTTTAACAGCAGAGGTCTCACTCCGAATCAGTCGAGCGGCAATATCTTTTCATCGGTTGCGTAACGCTGTGTGGAAGCTACCTGGTCTGTCGCTCCGCACTAAGCTTCAGGTCTTCTCGGCCACGGTCATTCCCTCCCTTCTCTACGCTTGCGAAACGTGGACCCCCCTAATGGAACATCTTCGCCGGTTAGAAACATTTAGGCTGGCCTGCCTACGATCCATCCTGAGTTTAACCAGACTGGATTGTGTGAGGAGCTCACAAATCCTTGAAAGATCTGGGCAGGGTCCCATCGGTGAGCTCCTCCGGCAGGCAAGGCTGCGATGGCTGGGTCATGTAGCCCGCATGCCCAGCCACCGCATGCCGAAACAGCTTTTGTTTGGCCGGATTGAGGGGGCTAAGCGGGCGCGGCACGGGCTAGAGAAGAGATGGAGTGATGTGGTACAGGAGGACGTGGAGCTGAGTGGACTTGCTGATGACTGGTACCAGCGGTGTCAAGATCGGCCTCTGTGGAGGAGGCTCGTGAAGGATGCTACTGGGCAGTTGGAGGCAGTCGCCCTCCAACAACAACGGAGGGCGGAGGAGCGACGCTCACAACAACGAGCGGAGCGCCGGGTGGCTAAAGCACAGCAGGTTGGCACAGTAGGGGGCACAGGTGGTGCATCAGCCAGTCATCTCAGTCAGTCGACCCGTGGCACCTGGGTCTGCCCAGTGACCTCCTGCCAGCGGGCGTTCGACACTTCACGTGGCCTCACGGTGCACATAGCCTGGCACAAGCGTCGTGGTGACGTCACCGCCACTTAGTGGCGAATGGCGGTTGTTGTTGTTGTATGTGTGTGTACGTGTGTGTACGTGTGTGTGTATGTGTGGGTATCTGTGTGTATGTGTGCGTGTATGTGTGTATGTGTGTGTGTACGTGTGTATATGTGTGTACGTGTACGTGTTTGTATGTGAAGTGCATGTGTGTGTACGTGTGCGTGTATGTGTGTGTACGTGTGTGTGTCGTGGGGAGCGGTAGTGTAGCGGTTAGCGCTACGCTGCGCTATGAACCTGGCGACCCAGGTTCAATTCCCGCTCACGGCCAACACCAGTGACGATTATCTGAACCGGTCCCGGGCCTCCCCTAGGTCGACTCAGCCTCAAATGAGTACCTGGTGCGGTGTGTAAATATCGCCACTAGGGAGACAAAGGCGGTCGGGCGTGGTGCTGGCCACCCACCCCCTCGTGTACCGTTCTGGCCTTCATAGGTGCTCGTTAACAGCACTTGCCCCTACAGTCTGTTAAGGCTATACGGGGGATCTTTGTCTTTTGTGTGTAGGCGGTTGTTGTTGTTGTGTAAGTGTGTACGGTTTTTTTTCACTTCCAGTCGCGACCACCCCTCCAAGCCCGGGCTGGTGGGCCACCTGGAGACCCGCAGAGATCCGGTGACTCATACAGAACCGCAGAGACCCACGACCTCCTGTAGACCAGGCGAGGTAGTCAACATCTCATAGCCACCGTGATGATGATGAGAGACACACACAAAGCTACAGCAGCAGCAGGCATATTGTCAAGGTCGGTGAGAACCCACGACCTCCTGTAGACCAGGCGAGGTAGTCAACATCTCATAGCCACCGTGATGATGATGATGAGAGACGCAGACTCCAAATCTACAGCAGCAGCAGGCGTCGTCAGGGTCGGGATTAAACCCACGACCTCCTGTAGACCGGGCGAGGTAGTCAACATCTCATAGCCACCGTGATGATGATGAGAGAGAGAGACACACACAAATACACAACACACGACCTCCTGTAGACCGGGCGAGGTAGTCAACATCTCATAGCCACCGTGATGATGATGAGAGAGAGAGAGACACAAATACACAACACACGACCTCCTGTCGACCAGGCGAGGTAGTCAGCATCTCATAGCCACCGTGATGATGATGAGAGAGAGACGCAGACGCACACTCCAAATAAACAACAGCAGCAGCAGGCGTCGTCAGGGTCGGGATTAATCCCACGACCTCCTGTATACCGGGCGAAGTAGTCAACATCTCATAGCCACCGTGATGATGATGAGAGAGAGAGAGACGCACACTCCAAATATACAGCAGCAGCAGGCATCTTATTACACTATGTAACACAATATTTGTTCATGGATATTGTTATTTCGTAATTGCTCATGCCTAAAAAGTATATAAAATTGCTATGATTCCACGCAAACTTTGCTTTTCTGAGCTGCGCAGTGATACTTTTTTAGAATCTACCTATTTTCAATGAGAAAACGGGCGAATTTGCGTCTTTTCGTTCACAATAAAGTCAGAAAAAAACAACGTATGATTCAAAATGAACATGCATTTATGCTAAAGTAATACAGAAACTACTACAAAAGACCGAGAAGTGAGGCTGTTTTTCGAGATTTACGATCATACTGTAAATCACGTTCACGAATCAGCCCCCCAAATGTCGTCTCCCATCGTGCTCTCGTTATACCGTCCTTGGTAGCGCCGTTCAAAGTCTCAGTCTCTCCTGGTGGAGGCGCTCGCCTTGCTCCTCCGAGTACGCTCCCGTGATCTCCTTGAACTGATCAGGATGAGCATCGAGGACACGCACTTCGAGGGACATCCTACAGCCCATTGTGCCGAGGTTCTTTTACCAGAGTCTCAACCGGCCCGGCGTAGTGTTTCGGCCTCGCGATTGCTCCAGGAATCCACGAACCACTGCGGCCGAAGCTGTCCCAAGGCCGCTCTCTCCCCCGTTGCGAGCGAGCTTCTTGGGGAAAAACCTTGCACTCCAGGATCTTCCCGTTCATCTGCTGGTCCGACGGAAGACACCGGCGTTGACCTTTGCCTCGGGCAGCTCAGGGAAGAGGTCTTGAAGGCGCTTGAAGGCCGCAGACACCTTCATCTACGGCTCTGGCAAGTGGTTTCACGAGCGCCGATTTGGCGTGCGGCGGTGGTGGCATCAGAACCTTCCGGAAGGAGGGGGGTGGGTGGGGTCCACCGGTGGCTCCCACCTGACGTTGTTCCTCCACCCCACAGAGAACTCGGTCCGCTGTGTGGGCCGGTGCCGCGCGCGGTGATGCGCCCCGGTGTCCCTGCTGTCCCAAAGGCAAAGAGAGCAGGGAAACTTGGTGAAAAAGCAAAGCAACAACAAAAAAGCCCCGCCTTGGAGACCCATCAGGAACGCCACCATTTTGAAGTCTCCGATGACCTCCCAGCGGTACCGATCGTACTCCAAGGCGTCCGGCGGGGTCTTGATGCCGTTGTAATAATCGTCTTCGGGGTGCACCGAGTGAGCCAGGGGAAGAGGCGGGGTGCTTGTCACCCTTGTGCAGCAGCAGCAGCACGGCCTTTGAGGCTCCTGGATGAGTTGCCAATGAAGAGGGCCGCCGCTCATTCCGGTTACAGGCGGTTCCGATTGCCTCGGACAGACCGGCAGCAGCAGCAGCAGCAGCAGCAGGAGGCCCATCTTGGCGGGCAAAGAAGCTGCGAGAAGGTTGGCGAAGCTTCCTCTGATCAGCGACCTGCGCGCCTGCATCCAGCAAGTTCCACCGCTTTGAGCCCAGACGTCAAAAGCTCGGCATTGGACTTGGTGAGACCAAGATCTCTGGTCAAGCCGTTGGGGTCTTTTTGGTTGGGGTGGTGTGGGTTTCTCTCCTCAGCTCCACCCTCTGACTTGACACTTTCTTCTCTCTCCGGAGGAGGAGGAGGAGGAGCGGGTACGGGGATATAATTTTCTCCGGTACCAAGGTTCTTTGCGAACCCACGGGTTTCTATCGGAGATTTGTTCACGAGGCAGTTCACATCTACAAACACGGACGCAATTTCAGCCGAGGAAGATGGTTTCGAATTAAGCAACCATTGGAAAGATGTTCTAAATCGAAGCAAACACGAAACTATTTTTTTTCCGACGGTACAGTATAATTTTTCAGGTAGTGGTACCCCAAACTTTCGCAGCTTCTTGAAAGCCCCTTTTCACACCACCACCAGCATGTGGACGCTGCCGTGCCACCTCGCCAGCCTGCACAGGTCGACCCCCTCCCTACCTTTCATCATGCGAAGTCCGCCTATTAAAATGCCAAAAAATTTGTACGCGAATTCCTTTGTCAAGGCACCTTAATCCCTCGCACACAGCTTGAAGGTCCGCGGTCTGAGCTTGGCTCTGTGTTTCACTCCAGCGCTGTCCTCGAGACGGCGCTGGTCCCTTCGACTGATGAAGGCCGCTTGTGTTGTGGCCGAAACGTCGTGTTTTTCTGTCGTTTTATTTTTTACCTACGTGGTGACTTTACCGAATAGAACCAAAGAGTACGGGTACGGGGAGTTCGTGGCAGTGTGGCACCGGGGCGATGGATGAAGGAAGGTCCGGATACGCGGTAGCGGGTGCATTCTTGCCAGCTCCAACGCTTTGGAAGGGTCCACCGTGCAGAAGCAGCAGCCGCTTGAGCGGTCAGTGGGCTCCCGCCAAATTCTTGCGATAGCGAATTTCATGGCTTGATTTCACCCGTGACGAATGCCCAAGAGATTCTCGCAAACGTTTTTTTTTCCCACGCGTGATATATACATATATACACACACACCCTCAACAACATTGAAAATTGTTAAAGCATTTTTTTAAAATGTGAAACTCTTGCAGTGGTTTACATTTTAAAAAAAATACATTTCAGAACATCAAATTCCCAGCAACAATTGCCCGCCTTCGCCTTCCGGAGTTGTTTTGCATTGCTCGCAGGTGAAATGAGGTTGCCGGGGTTTGTCTTGATCCCCGACAGGCATGCCGAGAAATACCTCGCAGGCCTCTCACGCATCTTAGCAGACGCTTCCGCAGAGTACCTTTTGCAGCCTCGTCTTGATTAATTGGCCGCAGACGGAGCAAAAATGCGCTTTCCTGGATGCTTGCAGCCTCTTGATGCCATCTCCGAAAAAAATGCAGATATGTATGAACTTAGGCAGCTGGAAATAAACTGAACTGGTGGGAATTTTTGATTTAAAGCTTTCGCCACTGCAGTGATTCATATGCTTAGCTCTTTCGGTAAAGTCACGTCGAAGGGAAACAATACAATAATAAAATATATATAAAACAATAAAAAATTCTCACGACGTTTCGACCATAATGCAAACGGTCATCGTCACCTGATCATCACCTGATGATGCATACTGCTATTTATATTACTGGAACGTTCTGGAATGTTCTAGACGTTACTTCAAGTTTACTCAGCACTGAATCTATCGGGAATGTTCCGGAAAAATAGGTACATTTTAAAATATCAATGTCCTGGTCACAAAAGCAAAGTTTGTGGGGAATGACAGCCACTTTATGTACTTTTGAGGCATAAGCAATTGGGAGATAACACTTACTAGCCAGGAACAACAGGAAAATAAATGTTGATTTAAAGCTTTCGTGACTGCAGTGATTCATATTCTTGGTTCTTTTGGTAAAGTCACCACCACGTTGAAGGGAAACAATAAAATAATAAAATCTATATAAAAACAATAAAATTCTCACGACGTTTCGACTGCAACACAAGCAGTCATCATCAGGTGTGAAAACCAACGGCAAGAAACATTTGAAAGAGGTGGCCATCTGGCTACCATGAGAGATTCGTTCATGAGGCTATCCACATACACAAACACAGAGAGACAATTTCAACCGAGAAGATGGGTTCTGGCTTAGCAATCATTGGAAGGATTTGATCAACCATTTGGGGTCTTAATTGATTGTTCACGCTTACGGTGGCTTTCAGACAGGATACATTAATTTTTCGTCTCCCCCCCTCCTCTTTTCCGAACATAGATGGACTCGTCCATCTAAACGAACTGTCAAATCGCTATCCGTGGTGATTAACGTTTTAAAAATAAATAAGTGTGTGTCTCTCTCTCTGTGTCTATGTGTGTGTCTCTCTCTCTGTGTCTCTGTGTGAGTCTCTCTCTGCTTGTGTGTCTGTCTGTGTGTCTATGTGTGAGTCTCTCTCTGCTTGTGTGTCTGTCTGTGTGTCTATGTGTGAGTCTCTCTCTGCTTGTGTGTCTGTGTGTCTCTCTCTGTGTGTCTATGTTGTGTGTGTGTCTCTCTCTTTCTGTGTCTCTGTGTGAGTCTCTCTCTGCTTGTGTGTCTGTGTGTCTCTGTGTGTCTATGTTGTGTGTCTCTCTCTCTCTGTGTCTCTGTGTGAGTCTCTCTCTGCTTGTGTGTCTGTGTGTCTCTGTGTGTCTATGTTGTGTGTGTGTCTCTCTCTCTGTGTCTCTGTGTGAGTCTCTCTCTGCTTGTGTGTCTGTGTGTCTCTCTGTGTGTCTATGTTGTGTGTCTCTTTCTCTCTGTGTGTGTCTCTCTCTGTGTGTCTAAGTGTGAGTCTCTCTCTGCTTGTGTGTCTGTGTGTGTGTGTCTCTCTCTCTCTGTGTGAGTCTCTCTCTGCCTGTGTGTCTGTCTGTGTGTCTATGTTGTGTGTCTCTCTCTTTCTGTGTCTCTGTGTGAGTCTCTCTCTGCTTGTGTGTCTGTGTGTCTCTGTGTGTCTATGTTGTGTGTGTCTCTCTCTCGCTCTCTCTGTGTCTCTGTGTGAGTCTCTCTCTGCTTGTGTGTCTGTGTGTCTCTCTCTCTGTGTGTGTCTATGTTGTGTGTGTCTCTTTCTCTCTGTGTGTGTCTCTCTCTCTGTGTGTCTCTGTGTGAGTCTCTCTCTGCTTGTGTTTCTGTGTGTGTGTCTCTCTCTCTCTGTGTGAGTCTCTCTCTGCCTGTGTGTCTGTCTGTGTGTCTATGTTGTGTGTGTGTGTCTTTCTCTGTGTGTCTCTGTGTGAGTCTCTCTCTGCTTGTCTCTGTGTGAGTCTCTCTCTGCTTGTGTGTGTCTCTCTCTCTGTGTGAGTCTCTCTCTGCTTGTGTGTCTGTGTGTGTCTCTCTCTCTCTCTGTGTCTATGTTGTGTGTGTCTCTCTGTGAGTCTCTCTCTGCCTGTGTGTCTGTCCGTGTGTCTATGTGTGTATCTCTGCTTATGTGTCTGTCCGTGTGTCTATGTGTGAGTCTCTCTCTGTTTGTCTCTGTGTGAGTCTCTCTCTGCTTGTGTGTCTGTGTGTCTGTCTGTGTGTGTCTTTATCTGCTTGTGTGTCTGTCTGTGTGTCTCCCTGTGTGAGTCTCTCTCTGCTTGTGTGTCTGTCTGTGTGTCTATGTGTGTGTCTCTGCCTGTGTGTCTGTCTGTGTGTCTATGTGTGTATCTCTGCTTATGTGTCTGTCCGTGTGTCTATGTGTGAGTCTCTCTCTGTTTGTCTCTGTGTGAGTCTCTCTCTGCTTGTGTGTCTGTCTGTGTGTGTCTCTGCTTGTGTGTCTGTCTGTGTGTCTATGTGTGTATCTCTGCTTATGTGTCTGTCTGTTTGTCTATGTGTGAGTCTCTCTGCTTGTGTGTCTGTCCGTGTGTCTATGTGTGAGTCTCTCTCTGTTTGTCTCTGTGTGAGTCTCTCTCTGCTTGTGTGTCTGTGTGTCTATGTGTGTCTCTCTCTGCTTGTGTGTCTGTGTGTCTGTCTGTGTGTGTCTCTCTCTGCTTGTGTGTCTGTCTGTGTGTCTATGTGTGTGTCTCTCTCTGCTAGTGTGTCTGTTTGTGTGTCTATGTGTGTGTCTCTCTCTGCTAGTGTGTCTGTCTGTGTGTCTGTGTTGTCTCTCTTTC